GGTCCGTAAGAGCCATATGTCAAGGATTAGTTATATATGGCCTAGGTTTTGTTCCATCTAGTGAAGGATACCTGTCCTCGGGCCTAACTCTGCTTATGACAGAAAAAGAAGGGCTATTCTCCCTCAGGGTGTTGCATCAGGCTGAAGAGAAGAAAAGAAGAGAAGAATAAAAGGAACAATAGGTGAGACGATGTAGCAGGCATAGAATATTTTTGTGCCAGAACTGAGGAACTCTTAATTAGAACAGTAAGCCCAACTCACATGGTGGGCCAATGGAGCTAACTGCATATATCAATTCAAGGTGGGAATAATGAATATCAGCCTTGAAAGCTGGATACTTTTTTCTGTGAAGTGGCAAATGGTGGTCTTTGTTTCTGTTTTCCTCCTCTCTGAAGCCAGGAAGATGCGATAGCTCAACAAAAAGCCAAGAACTGTTTTGAAAGGCCATATCCCAGTCCATTAATTCTTGGGAGTTTGCAGTTACTACAGTAGAAGAAATACAAAAGGGGTGAAGCATTGGATAGCCTAAGAAAGAAGCATTTGGCAGACGGTGCCATACAAGTGCAAGACTTAAGATCTACTGGCATTTAACTGTTGGCCCTCCTCACATCTAGGCAGCCTCACCTCTAGAAGAAACTATATGTAGCTCAGGGTTGAACTGTGATATCTTTGGTGTTCTCTGAGTTGGTTGTTTGCTTGCAAACATTTTATTACCCAACTAGATAATATCTCCAGTGCTATATGAGGGTGAGGTTTGCTGTTTGTTTGTATTATAATATAATACCCTGTCAGTGTTGGTGGAGGTGTTGTTTTTTCCTTGATGAAGTTGTTATTTATTATTTGTTTGTTTGTTTGAGTTGGTAGTTCCTTGATTAGGAGATTATTCTGCTTGATTATCTGATTTTAATCCTGATCCAGGGAGTCTTCTATCTTTAATGCCATTTGGAATGTCTCTTTTAGGGTGTAACATGATTAAGAAAGTGAGGCTTTTGATGATTAAATGAATATTAATTCTGCACTTAAGGGTGTGTTTTAAATCCCTTCACTCCAAAACTGCTCAATTCTCAATGGATCACAGATCAAGAAATTCAATTCCTGTGGCCTCCTTGTGGGGAGTAGCTTTTCCAGAGTGCAAATGGGCAATCCTTCTTCCTGAGAGATTTTCAAAAGTTAGAACCTGGATCTTGGCCAGCAATTCCCTGGCAAAGGTTCTCACTGGGACTTTTAATCTGTTCTTGCTCAGAAGCCATCTTCATATTAACATATCAACAGTTAATGTTCATCAGCTTGTCAGCTAATGTTCATCAGCTTGTTATCTCCGAAAACACTACCCACTAATTTTAGATTCTTGATTAAATGTTATAGAAATTGCTTAACCACTCTGCTGTTCAATCCTCAGATTGTTCAGTTTGGAATGAATGAAAAAGTTGGCCAAATTTCATTCGATCTTCCACGGCAAGGAGACATGGTGTTAGAAAAACCCTACAGCGAAGCAACTGCAAGATTGATAGATGATGAAGTGCGAACACTTATTAACGTAGCTTACGAAAGGACAGTATCTCTACTTACTGGAAAGAAGGAGGAGGTAGAAAAGGTATGGATTCTTGTCCTAAATAGGTTAAAAGACTGTTGCTAATTTGGGTCCAAACCTGATTTTCTGAGAACTTGAGGATTCCTTCTAGTTGATCAAAGAAAAGGGGACAACCGTTTCTTCCAGTTCCTTTTTCCTTTCAAATTCCAGTATTACCTGGTTACCAAGGATATAGGTATCAGAACAGAAACAAATGAAAATTGCTTACCTCCGATATGAAATTAAGGTAGTGGTAGTTTACTAAGCTTTGTGTATCAGAAAAATCCATATCTATTGAATTTATCATGTTATTTGTTCAAAAGTAATACAAAAATAATAGCCATAAACACTGACCAAAAACTTTGAGAGTAGCAGAAATGTTATTTCCAGATATCTCATTACTATAAATGATGTTTTAGTCATAACAGAAGAAAAGTTATACATTTCGTTTTTGGAAAACTTGAAATACAGGGATACGGTGATTCAAGAGTTCATCCTGCATATTCTTTACCTGGAAGACCTTGTAATAAGTAATACTGTAATCTGCTCCGAACATGTTCAGCAGAGGTTAATGGTTTTAAAATCTGGAATTTCTTTTTATCCCTAAGCACTATATTAAGATTGTAGCATGAAAAATTAGAGGCTGAACTTCCTTGTAATACATGTGTGCCTATTGTTTCAGGTGGCTTTAAGGCTCTTAGAGAAAGAGGTTTTGGATAAGAGTGATATGGTTGAAATGCTTGGCCCCCGACCCTTTGCTGAAAAATCAACCTATGAAGAATTTGTTGAAGGCACGGGCAGCTTAGATGAAGATACTTCACTTCCAGAAGGTCTTAAAGACTGGAACAAAGAACGTGAGGAGAAAGAAGAGGCAACGGATGAGGGAACTGCCAGGCAGATCAGAGGACATGTGCCTTTTTAGTGTTGCAGTATGATGGTGTTGTACATAAAAGTGACACAGTATTATGTTGCGCACTGAAAAGTAAAGGGGAAACACTTCAAAAATCTGGTGCCCAAGTATCCTCTGCTTTATGGAAGAAGACTGCCATGGTTGATGAACCAAAAAGGTGGGTTTTTCCGTCTACAGAGGATTCAGAATCCACAGGAAGCTTGTTTCCCAGAATTCCTGATTTAAAAAATATAGTTCGTAGAACTAATGGGTCTACACTGAATCTCTTCTAGATTTGCAGCTTTTCAGATCTGTATCACAATTGTGTAACCTGATATATTTAAACTGCCCTAGAATGTACAACTTCCCAGAACACCGGAAAAATTCTTCTATCTTCTGATCACCTCTACCAAATGTGAGTTGTTAATATCCTGAAACTGTTGGTTTTGATCATAGAGTATTTCCTGGGACCCCACATCGCTTAAATACGTTTGTTTAGTGAAAGCACATAGTTTTCAACCACCGGTTTAAATTCATTTCTTTACCTTGTTGTCCAATAAAAAGACCCTGTGGGTATTAGTGATCAAACTGGGAACCTGCTAAAGAGCTTATTCATTAGAGATATGGGTCTGTGGCTGCAATGAAGTGTAAAATCTAAATTATATTACTGCAATTTTAATAAAGTGTGGATTTTTTTCTACATGAGATTGTAAAATATTGAGCATACGAATGTATTTTGTAAATACAGTTTAGAAACATCAAATAAAATCAGCACACTGGACTGTGCAAACAGGCAGATTCTCTTGGATCCTTGGGTCAGTAATGAGACCATACAACCAGTTGTTAGATTTCTAATTAGAAAAATATAGACACAAAAGATTACATGGTAACTTTTTGAAGGACACTAGTAGCCCCATAGACATGTTCATAAAGTGCAGCAGTGAGATGAGAAAAATAAGAATTCACTATGTGCCATCTACTGAATTAACATGAAAAATAACATCAAGTTGTCTGCTGCGTTCTGTTATCTAGATATTAAGTAAAATCATGATATGAGCTCATACACATAATACTGATCTTCCTGTTCAGAACCAGAGATAGATTGCACAAGCAAGAAAGGATGGATGGATGGATGGAGCAGTCATTATTAGCAAAGAGCCTGTCAGACTAAGAAGCTGGAGTTCCTATTATAGATTAGTAATTACATAAGAACAGAATGCAAACTGAACAGTTGACAATGACAAGCAAATGGGGTTCTCTGCTAACACAGATCCTTTAACTTGCTCATAAATTAACTGGTATTGAGCAGAAAGAAGATACTTTTGCTACTCCTGCAAAAGTATCAAGCTCAGTAAAAAGAGAAAAGTGTTCCCAAAATATCAAACTAAAAAGCAACGAATAATAGATAATAGAAGCAACTATCAAAGGACGAACATTGGGGCAAAATCTGTAGCTTCATCGGGACATTTTGAACTTCCTGTGACAAAACAAGGATAATAAGATTGTGGAAAACAGACGCATGAAAAATCCAGTCCACTTTGTGGCTGTATTTTAAAAAAAATGTTGGGAGATCTTCAAAGATATTAAAAATTCAACTCCTAATGGCCCGTTATCTGGATTGTGACAAGAGCTAGCACAAGCATCAAGGATTGAAAAGGCTAGGTAGCTAATAAAAGATCTGAGAGAACCCCAGCTTTCACCCTGAATCATTAGGTTCCTGTAGTGCAGGGTTGTCAAACTTGTGGTGTCATGATGAAGTCATGTGATGTATCGCAACTTTGCTAAACCAGGTGTGGATGTGGCCAGCACATGATGCATCCGGCCCATGGACTGCGAGTTTTGACACCCCTGCTGTAGTAGCTATTTCATATACACACACTTGGAGACACATCTTTGCAGCCTGGAATGGGAGTTCAGCTGGAAAGTGCTGTTTCACAATGCTGGTTGTCTGTCTAATCCAAAATGTCCTAAGTCAGCATAGATCAGGCATAGCATTTAGGAAAAATCTAATGTGGCAGATGGTGAAGAAGACTGGAATTCTTATGGAATGTGCTGACATCTATTCAGACAACATGTCTGGTCCATCCACGTGATGGGGATTACCCAAGAGAATGACTGATGCCATGCTTGCTAGCACTACAAAAGAGGTAGGTGGGGGCTAAAGGCAATGTTGCTGGAGACAGAGAACGTGTGAATTTACATTTCAATGTAACAAAATTACATTTACTGTTGTTGAACCACATGGAATGTTTTTAATGATTTCTATCACATGTCAAGTGGAAAATTATTAACAATGTTTGGAAGAATTATGGGAATTAGGAAGGGCGCGTGGGGACCTGCAGCCTCAGAATATGCCTCCTTTGTGTCATGAACTTTTAAGGCTTCAGCTTCCAAAAGAATCATCCACTTCCTCGGAGGTTACTTTTTTAAAAGATTCCAAAACATCACTATTGAAGTATTAATTTATAAATATGGAATATGCAGAAGACTAAATTATATTTTGAAATTGTTTTTAATTAATGGAGTTTGTTCCCAACAAAACAATACATGGTACAAAACAACAAAGACATAGTAACACTGCAATTCTGAAACACATTTTACTTGGATATAAATCTCATTTAGAGTAAGAAATATTTACTTTCAAATAACCGTGCATAGGATTGTGGTGTGAATTGTTTCAGTTGGATGTGGGAGGGGAATATACTATATATATACCTTAAAAGGAAAAAAAAAATCTCAATTTCTTTCAAGAAGCTGGATACAATTACTTAATTATTTCAATATAAATTTTGTATGCATTAACACCAAGTCAAATGAAGAGCGCTCATGAACCCATTATATAACTGGGGTGCCTATGTAATTTATAAATTACACTTAATAGGTTTATGACTACTTTTAAATGGTCAAGATTCTACCCAGTGAATATGGAAGGGATAATGCTTATTTTATAGAAATTGGGCCGTGAGAGGGAGTGTGTGTGTGTGTGTGTGAGAGAGAGAGAGAGACTTGTTCTCGCAGCCCCCTTGAGCAAGTAAATACATCAGGGGAAGCCTTAGCTTTACTTTTGATGCAAAGCATTCACAATCCATTCTAAAGAAAATGACTAAATTAATCCTTTGAAAATTAAGCTCTATGGTATTCTTAATGTTATGCAAATGGTTAGCATTAAAGCAAACACTTCAGACTTGAGAATTGTATTAACTTTATTCATTAACTTCTTCCTCATCATCTTCAAATGCTTCCTCTCCATCATTTGTTGTTGCTTCTTGGTACTGTTGGTACTCAGAAACAAGATCATTCATGTTGCTTTCTGCTTCTGTAAATTCCATCTCATCCATACCTTCACCAGTAAACCAGTGAAGAAAAGCCTTTCTCCTAAACATGGCAGAGAACTGCTCTGAAATTCTTTTGAAGAGCTCTTGAATGGCGGTACTGTTTCCGATAAAGGTAGAGGCCATCTTGAGGCCACGAGGTGCTATATCACAAACAGCCACTTTGACATTATTTGGGATCCATTCTACAAAGTAGCTACTGTTCTTGTTCTGGATGGCCAGCATCTGTTCGTCAACTTCTTTCATGGACATGGGACCTCGGAAGACTGTGGCCACTGTCAGATATCGTCCATGTCTTGGATCACAGGCTGCCATCATGTTTTTGGCATCAAACATTTGCTGAGTGAGCTCTGGGACTGTAAGTGCTCGGTACTGCTGGCTGCCTCGGGCAGTCAAAGGAGCAAATCCAGGCATAAAGAAATGTAAGCGTGGGAATGGAACCATATTTACTGCCAACTTGCGTAAATCTGCATTTAGTTGGCCAGGAAAACGCAGTGATGTTGTCACCCCACTCATTGTAGCAGACACCAAATGATTGAGATCTCCATATGTTGGAGTGGTAAGCTTCAAAGTGCGGAAGCAAATATCATACAGGGCTTCATTATCAATACAGTAGGTTTCATCTGTATTTTCAACCAGCTGATGGACTGAGAGAGTGGCATTATATGGTTCTACCACAGTGTCAGACACTTTGGGAGATGGCATGACACTAAATGTATTCATTATCCTATCAGGATATTCCTCTCGAATTTTGCTGATGAGAAGAGTTCCCATCCCAGAACCTGTTCCTCCTCCAAGAGAATGAGTGAGCTGAAATCCTTGCAAACAATCACAGTGTTCACATTCTTTCCTCACAATGTCAAGCACTGAATCTACAAGTTCTGCTCCTTCAGTATAATGTCCTTTGGCCCAGTTATTTCCAGCACCTGTTTGTCCTGAAATAATAGAAAAAGGTCAGATTTACCAAGTCATGAAACAAACTCAAAATATCTGGAACTTCTGAATCTTCACCAATCCAGAATGTTTATAAATTTAAACATTTTCAAGTGTTATCATATATTGGGAACTCTAGCTGCCAAGTAATGGCCAAAACATTCTTAGAAATGCTTCATATAATTTTACATGCAGGTACATTGTGGTATACTGACAGTATAACACAGGAATTCCATTCACACCCATTAGGGCCAAGATGGATAGGTTTTCCAGTTCACTTTTTTTATCTTTTATTAAAAATTCAAGATTCATCCGCCAGTGCTATGGAAAAATGCATTGGCTGCCTGTATGAAGTTTTATTACATTTGGAGTTAATGTGAAACAAGAGGAACCCACCAAAGCTTTCAATGTGCAGGGATACATGAGCATTGTCTACTGAACGTATTTCATAAAATAACAGAGTTGGAAGGGATCTTTGAGGTCATCTAGTCCAGGGGTCTCCAACCACCGGTCCCTGGACCGGTACCAGTCCGTGGATCATTTTTTACCGGGCCGCAAAGCTTGGGCGCCGCCATCTTATTTCGACAGCACTTCCGGGTTTTCGGTTGCTTCCGGGTTTTTGGTTGGAAAGTGCTTCCGGTTTTTCAGTTGGAAAGCGGCATTTGGGTGCTTGCGCCTTAGTTTCGTCGAAGGGGGGGGCGGCTTCGAACGAAGAGCCGTCCCGATGGCGGTGGAGTCTCACGTTACTCAGGTACCGGTCCGTGGAAGAATAAATAATCGTGAAACCGGTCCCTGGTTTGAAAAAGGTTGGGGGCCACTGATCTAGTCCAACTCTCTGCTTGAGCAGGAGACTCTATTCCAAATATTAGCCTCTACCTAGGATCGAACTCACAGCCTCCTGATTGTGAGGTGAGAGCTCCACCTCCAGACCACCAGTCATTGTCCTTGAGAAGTTTTCTTTTTGTAACAGAATATCGTCAACATACCAAAGATAAAATTATCAGGCCGAAAGAGTTGTCCAAAAGGGCCAGATCGAACACTATCCATAGTTCCAGGTTCCAAGTCCACCAAAATTGCTCTGGGTACATACGTCTGGGCTAAAAAAAATAATATGTATATTAAATTAAAACTGACTACCCATCTTATCACATGAATTTCTGAATATTTGCTACACCATCTAATTTTTATTTGATCTCAAAAAGAGGGACCAATTTCTTTACCATTCTTTGGAAAAATGTCATTGTCCCTTACTGAAATCTTAACCCAAGACTTTTGCTTAAGTTCAGCCAATGTATTGTATGCCATCCCATTTTAAAAAATCTGTAAAGCTCACTCCCATATCCATTCTTTAGAGGTGCCATATGCCAAGCTGGTGAGGTTTTTAAAACCAGAATTTCAACCCCTAAACACCCTTACAGCCCCAATGTCAAAGGTCCAATTAACAAACCGAACAAAAGCAGACACTTCCAGGAACTTCAAAAATCCCAAAAGCAAAACTTTTGAGTAGATGATTTCAGCACTGAAGAATGCCAACCAACTCTGTTTCCCGTGCAACCCCGCATAGTTAAAGATATCTTCCCCTCCCCCCTACGGAACAAGTCACATTGGCCAATAATGTTCTTTTGTTTTAAGAACAGTCTCTGTCTTGGCCGACACCTGCAGGAGTGTTCTTGGTGGGTGAGTGAGATTCTTGGTTTCAGCTCATCAGCTTATCACATACCATTACAATCATTGCATTCATCTTTTGGTTTCCCAAAGGCATGTCCTTGGCCATATTTGGATGGGAATGATAGCTCTTGTTGTTAGCCTCAGGTTAGTATGTCATGCTAGTACAGCAGATTAGAATAACCGGTATAACCATCATAGGTTATAAACATGGCCCACAGTTATTAGAGCCTCTTTTGTTTACCCATCATGCTATCAGCTAAAGCAAGGATAAGCAAATGGAACTTGTATATTTCATTAATAGAAAGGGAAAGTTAGTGGGAGGTTCCATTCAACCAGAAATGTCAGGAGCCCTAGGGAGGGAGGGAAGGGGAGGGGAGAATGGACTACCACCTCATCTGAAATTAATCCAGGACAAATCTTAACATGTTCACACTTCTAAAGAATGGCAGGATTTCGTGCTTTTGGAATGGGACAATAGCTCAAAACATTAGGGCTCGATGTTAGTAAATCACTGCAAGTTCCTGAGGTTTTGCAAACTTCACGCTCATGATATTTCTCTAATCAAGAAAGAGCTTTCAGGCAACTCTTCTACACCACCACCCCCAATGCTGTAGGAGGCAAAAGAGGGTATGTCAGAAGTCAGCTACACATATTGTACTCGTAAATATGCATGCACCCACATTCGCAAATGTCTTTCACTCAGTGGAAAAGGAACTGTAATTTTCCGTTCCTGAGAACTGAAAGCTCATTAAAAATGATTTCCCCATTTAAGCCAAGGAGAGGTGACTCCTAGCAATGCATGTTGCTTCCACATCAGACTTGCACTCCACACTTGCATTCAGCAACAGTTGAGAAGTAAGTTGAGTAACTGTGGCAGGAGAAAAATTTGAGGCAGCAGTATTAGCAGCCATTTGTCCAACGATGTGACCATGAAGAATGTCTCTCGGGTCATATGTAATGAAGTTCAAGGATTGACGAAGGAGCAGATTTTTCACTACAAATGAGGAATATTCTTAAAAGAATGACTCAACAATGCGAAGGAGCATCACAAGTGGTAGATGTGGTTTTTATATTGGAAATTATGGTGAAATCTGACATCTCTGACAGGTATTAGTCTGGGCTATCTTACTGAGAACCAAATAAAGCACATATTATTAAAAGTGTAATGTATTTGTGTTTCATTTTTGTCTCCCTCAGTAACCCTATTTCAGCAGGAGACAGTAGGTATTTTAAAATTTATTTATACAAGTTTGTTACACTTATGAATTAAAAAACACATGGGCAACGGCTTAAAAGACAAAAATGCAATTTCATAATTGATTATAAATTTGCAATGCCTCACTTATACCATTCTGAAATGGTATAACTAAAATCACAGTTCACTCATGACAGCGCCACACTTAAAGGCTGCTTCCTATTACTATTATAGATATCATACTAATAAGACAGATTTCTTTGCTATATAATTTTTTTTCAAAGCCAGCTTGATAATAACTATGCTAAAGTTCACAGAGCAGCTTCTAAAACAGGAAGGCCTATTGGGACGTTTCCAGAATTTCTCACCATGCTTGGGAATTCTGGGAATGGGCACCCTAAGGCCAGGGGAATGAGCTGCTCTTTGTCTGCCAGCTCGGGGAGTATTTTTCTAAAAGAAACGCCTGAGCAACCTGGTCGCTCCCTTTCCAAAAGAGATGGGGGGGGGGAGGCATGAAACACTGTACAAACTCACAGGATGATTCATTGTAATAGACGCTGATCCTCTCCAGCTGCAAAGCTGAGTCACCCGCGTAGCCTCCGGCCGGGTCAATCCCGTGCTCGTCGCTGATCACTTCCCAAAACTGCGAGGAGCAGAAAAAGGAGTCAGGGACGGTTTAGGGCGGCGCTGTTCTCAGCAGCCCGCAGGGTCCGTTGCGCGGCCACACCCATCGCGGCCGGCCGGGGCAGAGGCGGCCTTGGAAGGCATGTGTCGGATGCAGCAGCTGCCGAATGCCAGGCGTGCTTGAGGGAGGCTCCAGCCAGCCCCGCCCCGCCGTTGCCTGCAACAACCCAGCAGGGGAAACGGGGGGCGGGCTGGGGAGGGGGCTCTGTGTGTGTGAGAGAGAGAGGGGGGGGCACCGAGGAATTGCAAAGGAAAAGAAATCGGTTTTAAGCGCCTCAGCCCGCTTCCTAGTCGAACCTTTTCCCTCTTCTCCCCGCTTTTCATAGCTCCAGCCTTCTCCATCCTCTTCCCCCCTCACACCGCCTTTTCCCCGCCGCTTCAGCATTTCCTCTCTCTCTCACACACACACGGGGTTTCAGTTTTTTTCCGAAGCCTTGTATGGTCAACATGAAAGAAGCGGCTCTAATTTAGTTCCCGTTTGGTGTGTGTGCTTTGTGTGGTTTCTTTCCAGCGCTCTCCGCGCCCAGGAGGCGGCCCGGCGGTTTGAAATACTCTTCTCTTCCCCTCCGCGAAGCGAAACTCGCAAGGAACAATTTTGCTTTCCCTCCCCACCCCATTTTTTTTTTGGGGGGGGGGGAGGATAAGTTGGTATTAAAAGACGAAGAGCGGCTTTCTCCTCGCCTGGTTCAAAGGCACTTGGCGTCCAGGTGAAAGGGAGAGACGGGAAGGCGCGGTCGTCCTTAGGGGGGTTGCTGGACCTGGTCCACGCGCGACCGGCTGCCGATAAGGAATCGCTTGGCTTTCCTAATACGAGAGGATTCTTCCCCCTCTCCCTTCCCCCCGCCCCACCCCCCCAACACACACACACACACATATACCTTGGTTCCAATTTGGTTTCCACACTGACCCGCCTGGATGTGCACGATCTCCCTCATGGTGGTGGGTCGTGGTGGTGGTG